ATGTCACTTCTTCAGTGACCCTGGAGACAGGTTAACCGTGGTAACCCACCGTCTTTTCTATGTGGGGGTAGTATCCAGAGAAAAGTAAATGTTTCCCATGGAGAAAATAGATTGTTTCATATGGATTAACTACGAATTAATTGGGTTGAGGTAAGCTTTATTTTTCCCAGCTGCAGTGGAAGAAGAGACAAAATATGTATTTATTTGCCAAATGAGGGATCCAGTTTGACAATCGGTTCTCACAAGTGACCCATCAGATTGGGCATATGGATGGCATGTTAGCCCTAATCCCACCCAGATAGGCCATCAAGGTGCCTAGTCACCTGAGGAAGACTTGCGTCCAGAGGGGGACAGAATATGAAAGGATTGATGTTCCTACTAATGCATCCCATATTGGGGGACCCAATTTTGGGGGAATCAAAAATAGGACAAATCAGTTAGTATTTTCTCTTCGATCAGCTCTCTTAGGTTTCTGTGTGTGTGTGTGTGTGTGTGTGTGTGTGTGTGTGTGTGTGTGTGTTTCCATGCCATGCCTGAGTGCTTTCTATCTGCACTGTAATTTCCGTTCTTGGTTGGTGAGAGGTCTTTTCAAATGTCCCTGCTCCAGTTCTGTGGACAATTGATAGGGAGTGTGTACAGTGAAAAACCGGTAATCATAGTTTCGAGTCAAGACTGGGAAAAGAGGAGGGGAACATTCTGGTTTGGGGTCTGCGGAAGCCGCTGTAATGCCTTTCTGCTCCCATGGTTTTTCCATCTGCTGGATGGGTGTGTGATAACACTTACCTCATATGCCCTTTGAATCGGTGGAGTGAGGCCCATGCCACGCGTTTTTCTTTGGAGAAGGATTACAATGATGGCATGTGAAATCCAAATTTATATCTAGGGGAAGCGTTAATTACTTGTCATCATATAATTTCTAATAAAGAGGTTGTTTAAAGCAGCAGATTGCAGAACAGAAAAAAGTGGGTGCGACCGCAGGAGATAAGGCTGAAAAATAGTTGGCAGTTTACGAAGAGCCTGGATACCATCCGAAGGAGTCTGCATTTTTTTTCTGTCAGACACATTATTTTCTTATATGCTTCTCAGAATGCTTGTGTTGGAGGATGTTCATGTGCCAAGGTCAAGCTCCGTTAAGTCCACGATTACTTTAGGGTAGGCCTTACATATGCTAATACGCGTGGTGATTCTTTAAGAGGGGGTTTCATATATTAGTTCAACTAAACAGTACAATGTGGTCGTAGGTATACAACAAACACAAAACTGTTCCAGCCTGGCACTTTCAGGTCACTTAATTTTAATGCCCTGCGTATACTCAACACACCTACCTGACCTGCATTGCCTTATATCCCGTGTATCTGGCACAGAGCAGGGTGCAGTCAACAAATAAAAGGAGCCTCCCTGAATAGCCTCCCTCTTCTGACCTATAAATGGAAAAACAGTAATACAGTGATTGAAAGGTGGGAAGAGTTGGAGAGACGTGATCACAGAGCATTTTGTGACCAAAGACTTTTTTTTTTTAATTAAAATCAAATTGAAACAGACTCACAAATGAAAAAAAAAATAGGTATAAAGATGGGGGAACTATGTAAGGGATTGCTGTTGAATTATTGTGTAACTGTGAAATCATTGCTTAACTCTGCTGAAGTTCATTTGTAAAGAGGTTAATCCCATTTACCTTGAAAGGCTCTTATAATCTGCGTTGACCATGACTGGGTGTATATGGTGTTGTGCTTGTGAGCTCAGGCTGGGAGCCAGCCTACCTGCTTTTGAATCTCAACCCTGCCGCTTACTAGATGTATGATACTAACTACGCATGTGATACTAGGCAATTAATTTCTTTATGCTTCAGTTTTCCTTATCTGCAAGATGGAAACCATAAGTATATTTATCTCAGAGGGCTGTGGTGAGGATTACAGATAAAATAATTGTTAGATTTTAGGAAAAGTTAGCTGCTCTTATAGTTATCATTTCGTATTTTCTACACGATAGCAGAGAAAAGCTCAGGCCTGCCCTGATTTGTATTTCCTAGGATGTGTCTGCTTGGCCAGTAGTTAGACCTCCATGCCTCCATCCCTTCCAAACCAAGTGCTCACAGCTCCCGACCAAGTTCAACAACTCAGTTAGTCCCTCTGTCCTCCTCCAAACCCATTTATTTTTATTTTGAAAAAAAAATCAGTGCTTATTTTTTTGTGTGGCCATTAATAGGCAATGACATTAATGTTCCTGGATGATTTACATGTGAATTGTTTTCTCTCTGGATTACCTCCAAGTTTTGCCCATTCAATTGATGGTCAGTTAAAATACAGAGGATTCTTGACTGACATCTAGAATTTGGAAGAAACAGAAGGGAAAACTAGACATAAGAATCATACACCATCCTGCACAGAACAGTGTGATAGGTAAGGAAGACCAGACCAATAAGATAATCTGAGATAGTCGTCGCATGGTTTGGTAGTTACATGACACTCTAGTGACAATTTAAAAAATAATTTACATAGGTCACATGCATGATTCCCAGTATAATGATATTTTGATTGCATTCTTTCCCTCATGTTAATGCAGTTTACCCCAAATCATTTGCCTGTTTGCATGTAATCCTTAAATAGGTCAGCGAGGCATCAGTGACACCAGCATAGGTGTTTAAGGAAGAACCTTCCAGTAATCTCCCAGACATTTCCAGTTACTTCAGCTAGTGGGACTCTGTAGGGCCATCAGTGAACAGGAAAGAAACAGATACAGTATTAATAATGGCATCCAAGTTTTCATATTACTTCAGATAGAGCAGCAAAATTTATAATTAAGCAAGTTAAGGCAGACTGAACACTCATAACTAAACTGTGTATGCTTACACTCGCTTATGACTTGTATTTCCTTTTGAGGACAATCCTTAATGAAGAGCAAGATTTTTAAATGATTATGATATTTACATTAGCTTGGCTCTTCAACAACATATATGTATATATCTCCAAAGGCAGAAGTTAAAGAGTGCTTTTCACATGAATATACCAAAGAGAGGTTATCAGCCACAGAGTTCAGTATTTGCATACAAAATAATGTCTGGATACATAGAATTCTTGTGCTCAGCAGATGAAGAACAAAAGATTGCTATTATTAAGTGGCTTCTTATTTACATTCCTGTCAAAATTATGTGAAACTCTTTCTCAAGAACCATTCTAGAGAATCCTCTTACGTAAAGAAGGGTGTATGCGTAGGTGGTCGCTCACACAGGTTAGCGCAAAGCTTTTTTGGTGCACTCTGATAAACTGAGTTCTGTATAAGTGGCACACTACCACCAGAAAGAGAGGACTTCAAGCAGATTTCTAGCAGAAGCCTGGGATTAAAGATGCATGTGACAACAAGCTTCAGGGAGAGGAAAAATCCACTCATAATAAAAAGGCCATCAAGCCTTCGTTGTAAGAACTTCTCCAACTGTGAGAAGATTTTCTTTCTACCAAGAAAACCGCTTATACTCATGTTTAATGTCCTAATTTAATGGAAGACACTAAATTAATTTATATCCCACTTCTAGGTCTGTTTTCATTGTCCCTCCAATGCAGACTATGCACTGAACAATACAAATCCCACATGTCATTTCTACCAGACAACCTCACCAACCCAAAAGGTGATGATGTGGTCTTATTTTAGAGCCAAAAGAGAGTTCTATACATCAGTCATTTTCAGATAAACATTAAAAATAATCCCTTACGCTTCTTTGAAAGTGGTATCGTTATTTTTTTTTTTTTTTAATTTTTTTTTTCAACGTTTATTTATTTTTGGGACAGAGAGAGACGGAACATGAACGGGGGAGGGGCAGAGAGAGAAGGAGACACAGAATCGGAAACAGGCTCCAGGCTCTGAGCCATCAGCCCAGAGCCTGAGGCGGGGCTCGAACTCACGGACCGCAAGATCGTGACCTGGCTGAAGTCGGACGCTTAACCGACTGCGCCACCCAGGCGCCCCTTGGTATCGTTATTTCAAGATGGAGCACAATCACTGCAGGAAGAAGAACCCAAGACAGATGAAATGTTATACAAAACAAGAATTGGATTTTTGTCCAGGATTACAGAGGCCCATAAATTAAAAAGGCTTCTGTCAAATGTCGACTCCTGATTATATCTGTCTCCTGATCCCCCATGGACTTAAACAGACCCAAGGTTAAATTTGAACAGGCGTAGTGACCATACAACATCTAATCTGTTTGTCTACAGAGTGTCAGAAACCCAGCCTTTCATTCGTAGGACTTAATTCTGCCTAAATCCCTAATATGGCTAATAAAATGTGGCTTGCAGTAAGATAAGTGCCCATATTTTTAAAAATCCAACAACAGATCCTCTGTCAAGGACAAAAATTTGCCCCTTAACCATCTATTTATATTGAGAGCCAAAATAAAACAGCACTTCAACCAGATTCTCATTTCCTAAATATTCCTTCAGTTCATAAGAAAAGCGTCATTCTAGATGAAAACTCCTTAGTCAATCTTGGTCTTATCCTAAGTAGACATTCCTGCTTCGCGTAAGGTCAGAAAGATACCACTGGGGTACTTGCAACAACTTCTGATACCTACACATAGCACTCCCTACCTGCTGACGGTGCCTTTAAAAACCTTCTGAGCAACACTGAAAGCCTTGTCTTTTACATATTTGGAAGCAAGTTTGCTTACCATTTAGAAAAGTCCTCATAACAACTTGTCTCTCTCTACTGTCTCTGGCTTTTCTGAAGTATGAGGAAGGCCTTGGCAACAAAATAATTTATCACATCATTCAATTTACATGCATGCCACGGAAAAGGTTTACCTGTTATCTTGCAGACAAATCTAAAGTATAACCAGAGAAGCAGAAATTACCCCCCTTCATTATAAAAATGCTGTTCTAAAAAGGTATACTTAAAAAGAGAATCTTGTACAGAATTGTCAAATCACTGTTGTACACCTGAAACTAATATGTCGTAAGTTGACTCTACTTCAATAGTAATTAAAAAAAAAAAAACAACAACAACCAGAATCTGTTAGAATCTGCGTGTAATACTGAAAAATGATACACATGTATCTTTATCATAATTTCGCCTTTCAGGGAAAAGAAAATCCTCACCATATTGAAGTTCATTTTATACTGCTGCTTCTTTTATATTAATAATTTATGAATACCCTTTGTCAAATGCTTTACATGCCAGGCTCTGTGTTCATCCAAATATTTAAAAGATGATCAAGTCATCATCTCTACAAAGCAAAGTAAAAATGCATTAAAAATAATAAAGTTGGATGCAAATTCAGGTAACCATACCAAACCCTGTGAAAAGACCATGGTCCATCTTTTGGAGGAACTGTCTAACATGATCTGGTCAATCGCAGTTGTCCTTTTTCTCGGCAATGATACACCAGTTGCCATGATCGTTCCCGGAGCTCAGAACATGCAGCTCCGACACGTTCTCCTTCAGCAGGCCGTAGAGCTCACCCTCTCGAAACACATGGTAATAGCGCATCAAGGCTCTGGAATCCAAAACGTCGGGCTGTTGTTCTTCGACAGAAATTGTGGCATCTGGGTTGGAATCTGTGGAGTCGACTGCAGAAATCCTTCTCAGTATTTTACTAGAAGGGTCGCCTTCTTCTACATCACCTGCGTTCACACGATTCGCATTGGTGTTGGTGCTTTCCAGAAAATTCCCATCTCCATTTCTCCTAACTTCTCTTTGCTGGCCTCCACGCAGATGTCTCTTTGTGGCTGGTGCTCTCAGCCACTCCAACTGTTTTTGTGAAGTCTCCACAAACACATCTTCATCTGAAGTTTGCTGTCTTGTTGACAATGGCTCTTGGCGATCTAAGTCTAAACTGGAGTGTCTGGAAGGCTGGATCGATATGGTGCTATTGGCCCAAGCCTCTGTAGTCTTCAGGGGCCTCACTCTCTCAACTTGCTTCCTCAGAGTTGATTCATCCAAAGACCTAGAGAAAAACCAGGAACGAAAAGATTTTCCGAATGTGTTATAGAATCCATTTTCTTCCTCTCCTTCCTCAGAGATATTTGCACAACAGGCTCTGGCCATCATTGGTTCATAGTCCATGCTGTGGGACCGTTTGGAATGACCTTGCTCTTTAAAACAAACAGAGCAGCTACAGACAGAACAAGGAGGATGGTAGAGATGGCTTCTTTCCGGATGTCCACACTGCTGTTTTCTCCCAGGCTGGCTGGAGTCTGAGAAGAGCTGGGAGCATAAGGCCCTGTTCCACGGGACAAGCACATCTTGCTTCTCAAAGTGCCGGTTCTTTTGTTCCATGGCCCAAACATAAATCATCAGCTGGCCTCCAGGAACTAAGACCCTGGCCATTTCTTTTATTGCTCTGATTCTTCTCTGTTTTGTAGAAAAATGGTGGATGACTGAAAAAGAAGAAACGAGACTTCAATGTGTATACACATACATAAACTCTCAAATTTATATGCTAGTATTTTACATATAATGCAATTTCATACAATGCAATTTCAACACACAATAAAACCTCTTTATTTCCTACAGGGCAGGGCACATGGTGGGTATAGCAAAGCCTTGTTTAAGGGGAGATATAATTCTTATCTTGGGCTCCTATACTTCCTACACAATCTTAGGTAATTATGTAACGTATATGGATTTCAAGTTTGTTCATCTATAATACACTTAAATAATGTGGGGGCGCCTCTGTGGCTCAGTTGGTTAAGCATCCAGCTTCAGCTCAGGTCATGATCTCATGGTTCGTGGGTTCAAGCCCGGCATCCGACTCTTTGTTGACAGCTCAGAGCCCAGACAGAGCCTACTTCAGATTCTGTGTCTCCCTCTCTCTCTCTCTGCCCCTTCCCTGCTTGTGCTCTGCTCTTTCTCTCTCTCTCTCAAAAATAAATAAACATTAAAAAAATTTGTCTAAATACATAAATTGTAAGTTCCAAATCCTTCCAGTTCCTGAATCCTATGAATTTGTTAAGTAGAAGGATGACCAATGTGAATTAATGAAATTTTCATGGGAGCACTGTTAGGTAAGTGTTCCCAGTGGAAGACTATGAGATAATTATTTACTTTAACAAATGATTGATACTTCTTATGCACCAAAAGATTAACACCACTAATCAATGTTAATAAAATTTATACAGCAAATAGAAGTGGAGAAAAATGCTAATGATTGTCTTCTTACTTAGATAATGCAAAGATAAGCCAGCCTAGCAAAAGTCCAAATGATTGCTTATTATTTTTTTAAATATTAATATAAAGTAGCTGTGGGTGTGTTTTTAAAAATCAACATATAGAATTGTGGAATTCAAGTGGAATATATAGAAAAGCGGAATTCAAGTAAGACTGTCTTTATCCAATCTAATGATGAAAATATTAGGCGTGTTTTCATCAGTGTGTGGAAAGTGCCAGTCTGAGTTCTGAGAGGAGTCCAATCCCAGTACTATGTCAAGAGGAAAAATCAGATTGTTTTTCCATATGGAGGGGTAAGGCCTACCCCGTGTCTCAGGAAGGAAGTTAGTCCCAAGGGAAGTCTGGACACTACGCTCAGGTATGAGTAGTAAGATGAGAGATAGAGGATAGGAGGGTTCCTGAAACCCTCACCATAGTCCAGCGGGCAGCGGTGGTGTTAGGCAAATAAATCTCTAGTTTACCTGCCACAGGGAGATGGTAAATATCTGAAATGAGATTCTTGTATAGAGAAAGCTGTCAAAGGAATATCAGTCAACAGGCACACGCGGTCTTGTTACCAATCAGGTTTTCGTCCCCACAGTCTCACACAGCACACATGCCCTGGCATCCGCTGTCCTGCCACGCAGAGGCGTGAGAAGCCAGACGTGCAATGACGCGAAAATGGGTTGGACGAACAGGACGCCAGCGTATTTTATCCTAGATCTGACAGCAACTCACCTTGTGATCTTTGACCAATCACTTGACCTCGTTAGGCCTCAGAGTGTTCCTCACTCCAATTCCCAAAGAGCCCCCACTTTTTTTTACTGTTTGTTTATTATTGACAGAGAGAGAGAACACGAGTAGGGTAGGTGCAGAGAGAGAGCCACAGAATCCAAAGCAGGCTGTAGGTTCTGAGTTGTCAGCACAGAGCCCAACGCAGGGCTTGAACTCAGGAACTGTGAAATCATGACTTGAGTCCAAGTTGGAAGCCTGTCTGACTGAGCCACCCAGACGCCCCACCAGAGAGCCCTTTTCAATGGTTAATTTGAAAGCTTACATTTCTAGAGGCAGAGTCTTGGTCACTGAGCTAAAAGGAGGCACAGAGGTCAGGAGAGAGGTAGGATGATCCTAATGTTCATATCTATGACTATTCATGGCCGTGAATATCTCCCATGACTTGCATCTAATCCACTCCAGAATGTCTATGGGTGTATTTTCTACATATGGTCATCCCTTGTTATCTGCAAATTTCATATTTGCAAATTTTGCTACTTGACAAAATGTATTTGTAGCCCCCAAAACAGCACTCTCAGTGTTTTCCTGGTCATTTCTTGACATGCTTGTGGTGGCACAGAGCTCCCAATGTGCGTGTTTCCATCTAAGGTTGAGCAAGGTGACCTCTTCTTGCCTGTTTTGGCTTTCTCCCTGTCAACAAGTGTCCTTTGGTGGCCTGTTTAGTGCCACGGTCTTTGCATTGGTGCTTTTTGTTGGTGATTTCGCTGTTTAAAATGATCCCTGAGCATAGTGCTTAAATGCTGTGTGGGGTTCCTGAGTGTGAGAAGGCTAGGGTATGTCTTGTTAGATGAGCTTCGTTCGGGCTGTTGCCAGGAGTTCAAAATTGAATAAATTGTCTTTAAATGGAAATACATGTAAAATAAGGTTGTGTACAAATCAGTTGACAAAAAATGCAGTGACGAGAGGCTCACAGGAACTTAGTCCTTTATTTCCCCTGGGAGCAATGCCTCCGTATTCGCTAATTAAGTGTTCGAGGAGACTTCATAGAATATAATTACTGTGAATAATGACAGTTGACTGCATTCCTTTTGGGGGCCAAAAAAGGAAAAAAAAATCATTAAAATAGGACCACTTTAATATAGTAATCTCTTTTTAGCAGATACCTATGTCTTCAACATTTTAGAATTCCGGGCTTCAAAAGAAGTCTTTTTTTAAAGGAAGAAAGTCTTTATACATAATAGTTCCTTAAACATCTGTTATGTGATGATTCACTTTAATAGCATAATATCACCCAGGAAATACCTGAATCTTTTATATTGTTTAATATTTATATTTAACATGTAATACTAAGTAACTTTTAGGCCAATTTTTTTTGAAAAACTTTACAAATGAAGATTTCTTCATTATATAAAAAATGTATTATATATGCATCTGTATATTCTATGTAAAAACATTATAAATGTAACCAAAATGGGATGTGAAGATGCATTTTTATGAATTATAAATGTCAGGAAACTATATTGAGTTTTTTTTCTTTTCTTTTAATTTTTTTTTAATTTACATCCAAATTAGTTAGCATATAGTGCAACAATGATTTCAGGAGCAGATTCCTTAGTGCCCCTTACCCATTTAGCCCATCCCCCCTCCCACAACCCCTCCAATAACCCTCAGTTAGTTCTCTGTATTTAAGAGTCTCTTATGTTTTGTCCCCCTCCATGTTTTTATACTATTTTTGCTTCCCTTCTCTTATGTTCATCTGTTTTGTCTCTTAAAGTCCTCATATGATTGAAGTCATATGACATTTGTCTTTCTCTGACAAATTTCATTTAGCATAATCCCTCCAGTTCCATCCACGTAGTTGCAAATGGCAAGATTTCATTCTTTTTGATTGCTGAGTAATACTCCATTGTGTGTATGTGTGTGTGTGTATACACACACACACACACACACACACACACACACCACATCTTCTTTATCCATTCATCCATCAACGGACATTTGGGCTCTTTCCATACTTTGGTTATTGTTGATAGTGCTGCTATAAACATGGGGTTGCATGTGTCCCTTTGAAACAGCACACCTTTATCCCTTGGATAAATACCTAGTAGTGCAATTACTGGGTGGTAGAGCGGTTCTATTTTTAGTTTTTTGAGGAACCTCCCTACTGTTTCCCAGAATGGCTGCACCAGCTTGCATTCCCAGAGACTATATTGGAGTTTTTAAAGGCTAAAAAAAAGAATCCCCTTTTGTTTAAAAAGCATAATCACAACTTAAAGGCAAAAATAGTATGCAATAGGGGCACCTGGGTGGCTCAGTCGGTTAAGTGTCTGACTCTTGATCTCGGCTCAGGTCATGATCTCACAGTTCATGAGTTCAGGCTTTGTGCTGTGTGCTGACAGCACAGAGACTGTTTAGGATTCTGTCTCTCCCTCTCTGTGCCCCTTCCCTGCTTGCTCTCTCTCTCCCTCCCTCTCTCTCTCTCTCTCAAAATAAATAAATAAATAAACAAACAAACAAACTTAAAAAAATACTGGTCAATATATGTATACTATAGCCACATGTTCTTGCTGAGACCCCAGAAAATAGGTAGGTTGAATTCAAGTACTGGATTCTAGAATTCGATGGGAAGTTACAGAAGATCATCTTTAAAGTCTTGTTAATTCTTGATATTTTATGATGTGTTGTCATTTGACTTTTCCAATGTGCAGGTCTCCTTTAACTGAAAGCGTAAAACAGAGTTTTGCAACCTCAACACTACTGACATTGTGGGCTAGATAATTCTTTGTTGCAGGGGGCCAGCCACTAGATGACAGGAGGTTGTACACACATCCAGTTGAGCCAGCGAAAAATGTCTCCAGACATTGACAAGTGTCCCCCAAGGGTGAAAGGGGCACCATAACCCCATGCCGAGAATGACTGGCATAAAATAAGTAGTCGATTGGCACTGTTGTAATATATTGCTAAATTTTGTTAGAATTGTCAAGCTATTAAACTAAGTGGAAAGAGTGTTTCTTTCTCCAAGCTGTCAGAAAAACATGTGGAATGTATAATTAGATACGGTGTTGACCTCTCAAATTATTATTAGGAGTCATGGAAAAAGCATGTCTCTTTATTTATATATTTCTTCATGCTAAGATTAGCAAAAGTGCCAGCATAAAATTCTAAATCGGGAAGTAAATATGTACAGACATAAGAGAGACAGACTATCAAAATTTTTCATAATATAGTTCTAAATGTGAAACCTCACTGAAAATGACCACGTCACATTAATACAGTTACAGTTCCGAAAAATACATGGTGTGTTTCCACCTAAGGAAGCATTTTTCTTCAGAAGACGGCAACCAGGTATGTTGCATTTCTTCCGCGGACAACGCAGGAGACCTAAGCTGGAAGCAGAGAAGCACCTAACCACGTACACATGGAGCATTTGCCAGAAGTCGGACGGCTGGGCGCTATCCCCGTGCCCGCCACAGTGGCTCATGGCACAGCCTTGAAACTCAAGTAAACGAACATTTAGCCTCTGAAACTAATGTAAAGGAACACAAAGAACAAAGAACACACTTCTCTGACCTCTCCCCGATTTCTCATTCTTTAGGTGGAATATCCAACCCAAAAGCTTTCTTTCCACTAAAGATTCAAAACACTTTAATGAATTTCTTGGTGTAACAAGACTCCCTCCTCATAATGTTTATGCCCAAAATGGACTTGACCGTTTCATCTGCAACTAAGTAGGGCTGGCCTACAGCAGGTTTCCATGGCAACCACGTCCTGCCAGTCCTGACTAGTTTCAAGGCTGTGGCCTCCAGGCCTGCATCCCCTCACTGTGCAAAGATATAGTCCCCATCTATTGTTGAATACATTAAGTCCTCATTTCCTTCAGGAGAGAGCAGTCTCCTCGTGAATTTTTATCTCCCAGTTTTTATCTAGTCAGTCAGTTTTATATAGGATCACCTTGCTTTGTGTGTAATCTATAGTCAAATAGATTAATTTTAAGTGTATTGGAGCAAATCTTTTGCTTTGCACAAGATTTTCCTCTTTGCAAAAGAACTTGGTGCAAGGTTCCCTAGCACGTTTCAATGGGACTAAAAGTCTAAGTTTCAGGATTACATGTATTGAGTAAAATGAGCCATATCTGTGTATATTTCAGGCACAGGTCTTTGTTGTTTCTTTTCATTTGTGGACTGTGTTTTTATGGGGCACACTTGTTGGGAAAATATGAGGAACAAATTCCCTAGAGTATAAACAATCTCTAGCAGTAAGAGAGCCGAGTGATGTGAAACTAATGTAGTCCGGGACCGGGTGGGGCCATCTTCCCCAGTGCCCTCATGCACCAGTGAGTAGCAGATTGGATGACACATCCTGCCGGGTGACATTCAGTGCATGAGTTTTACAGTGTTCTGCTAATAAAGGACACAGTCATGACCTAAAGTAGGTAATAAGACTTCTAAAGTTCTACTTCACATTGGGAGAGCCTGGCTCCATTTCAGTATAACAGAGTATGAAATATTTCAATGACTAAAATTCCTCTAATACTTTCTCTAAGTAAAAGAAATTGGAATGAGTCATCAGAACACAGTACCAGTTTGAAAGTTTAGTGAAAACAATCCTATGTAGCACCTTATGTACATTTGGGATTAGTCAAATGATCCAGTTGAAATATTTTTAAAAATTAGATGAAATGAATCACACTGACGATTCTACAAAGAATGAATGTTGGGTTGTGAGAATGGCCTCCACCATTCATGCAATGTTATTGTCCTGGTGAAGAGGGAACGTGTGACCAGGCTGCCTTACCTCCTATGGAGATGATGGCATCGAAGCCCTGATCCCTAAAGGGGAGATGAAGGTTGTCACATACCATGACTTCACATCCTCTACTCCGGGCAATCTCTACCAATGGCCCGCAGTAGTCACAGCCCAGGGTGTACACCTGGCTGTTCACTTTAAGATACTTTCCAGTCCCACAACCTGTAAGAGAAAAACCTGTGTTACATACTGTCCTCCCAGAAAGTGAAACACGGTCAGTTTGTCTTACGACAAGGAATAGAAATAACTTTGTATTAACTAACCGAGACAGACTACAACGTGGTTTGAAGATATTCACAAAATCCAAAGAAAGATCTTCAGAGGGCACTTACATATGTTCATCCATAACAGAAGATGGAAAAGGATAGGGAAAAAGAAATAACATTTATTGAACATTTAATGAGGTAACGTCCATAGGGATTGGCCCACTAGCACAACCAAAAACTGTTAGCTGCCTCATGACAGTGGCTGAGTTTCCTAGTACCCTAGGAATGGTGCCCAGGCCTTTACAAAACTACCCTCATATACATATTTCATTATGCAGAAGTCCATACGTGATGGCATTTATTCTCATGTTATCTCTCCAGACATTCTTAACACTTACTGGCTCCATAAAACAAACTACTGCCAACCGTTTTCATTGGATATAAACAAAACAATCTATACCATAACACGTTTTTCAAAAATTTGGAATTTGAATGAAAAGGGAATTTGGAGAAATTTTTATCCAATCTATTGTCAGTTCTTGGTTTTAAATGATCTCTGTTGACTCAGCATACAAGCTTTAGAGCTATTTTTTTCTTCTTAAACAGACCACTTATGACATTCATTTGTCAGAGACCCAAGTAATTCAATATTTACACAACCCAAAGATCTAGATCAATCAGATCTGATACTACGATGAAGAGGGAAGTAACAGGAGTGAGTAACCATCTTGAAACAAGACCTTCTGGGGTCTGATACCTAGTATTATATTGTAACACGGACATAGCAGTGAATTCCTTTTTCAGAAATATTTAAAGATATCATGGGAGCTGATATCCCTGAAAAAATATCTACCACTCTTCAAGCATGATTAGTTTGCTGCTTCCAAAATGGCAGGCCATTCAAAATTATATGAGACACCAAAAGTATAATTAAAGTTCATTGATGATGCCATCTGAGACAGTGGCAAGTACGTGAATAAAAACAAGATTTCCAATGTCATCATTTTAATGTGATTGGGGTCTTAGAAATATTTTAGATGTCATAGCCACTGTTCCTAAGAATACTTATGAGGAAAAGTAACCAATATTTGAGGGGAGTTATGAGGAAAATAGGATTCACAAAGTACTTTAAAATTGCAATCCTGAATATTTCAAAGATGATGGTCCTGGTTGAAGGAAAATAATCTGGCAAATGTGTTTGCTTTTTTATTTTTAATTGGCTCAGAGGATACATTTAGAAAAATGAAAGAGAAAATTACCTTCGACTAATAAGAACAGGTTCATGACAAACTGGTGGTTATCAGATGGGATGGGTGAAACAGGTGAAGGGGATTAAGAGTAACACTTATCGTCACGAACGCTGAGTAACGTATAGAACTGTTGAATCGCTGTGTTGTTTTTGTTTTGGGGGTTATTTGGGGGTTATTTTTATTTGTTGAATCATGACATTGTACACATGAAACTAATATAACATTGTACATTAACTCAGGAATTAAAAAGTAAAAACAGAAAGAACAGGTTCATGGACCATTAGAGCTAGAGGGAAGTGTTCAGAGGGCGTCTGGCAATACTGAGGCAACCCAGTCCTTGTCAAATCTCAGCATCACCGTCTAGGGCCCATGGCACCCTCGATTTATCCCATTTTCGTTTCTGATGGCATTCATTTTGAAGCATAGTGGTGGATCTCGCAGACATGATGCAATTATTTATTTTCCAACTGCATACACTGAGACGATAGAGAGGGGAAGATTTTATCCTAATGAGGAAATCAGAACTCCTGCCAAGTCTAGTGACCCCATTATCTTAAATGTGCAAGAAGTATATCAAACATTTTTGATATGGCAGCAAGCTCCAGTACACAAGTCATGCGGCTTTACAAAATCTCATTAAATGATAACCTTTCACAGTATTGAAGAGAGCTAACAGAGTGCGTGCTTACATTCCTCTCTATTTTCTATTCTGTACCACACTCAAAGAAGAAAATATAATTGCCTCAATTCAACAAAATGTTTTGGTGCATGGTGGGCGAGTGTTTGCTAGAAATAACTAATTTGAATGTTTCCTCTCGAGTTTGCAGGAACAACTACATTTTTTAAATTAAGAGTTTTTGCTAAGACCTTTATCTGAAACAGAATTCTCTTTTCCCGTAGGAAAGACAAGAGTAAAGCCTACTTATTTCCCATTTTATATACATTTCTTGAAAGCAGAGATGAAGGGATATGTTTTATTCTGTAGGCATGGTGCTTGCCACGGAGCAAGAGTTCTAAATTTTTATTGACTCCGTGAAGGAATGGTAAATAGGGAATGACTTAGTAAATTAAATCTTACTGCAGAGATTGGGAATAAACACATAGAGTTAAGAGGCAAAGGGAATCTTAATTACTGAAAAGGAAATTTTTGTTATGTACACAAAAATACCATTTTTAATACTATTAGGACAGACGGTTGTCTCTGATGTCAGGTAGAAAGGTAACCTTGCTCAAAAAGAATCTGGCTCTGGTCTTCTTCCTGTTTTCTAAACTAATCTAAACAAAGATCTCAAACCCCAGAACACCCTCCATGAACCATCTAATGTCCTTAAGCGATTAGCCCATTTGAGGTAGCCATATTGTCATGATTGAAGAGATCATAGTATTTCCTGAGAGTACTTTGGATTTCTGCTGTCTTTGAATCTTCGAAGTTCTTTTCACTTAGGCTGTAATTTCTGCTCACTTGATTCCTGTTACTGGCCCAGACGACTTAGTTTCCATCAGGAACTCGGTGATGGAATGATGGGGAACGGGGTGCTGTGGTGAATAAAATCTAAGTCGACTAAAAGTTGCACCACTTAAATAGTGAAAACAGCCTAGAAAATTGTAGGCAACTGGAACCTGATTATGGCCAGATGTTGATTATTTATGCAAAGTTTTACTAGTAACTAACTATGGATTGCTAATCTAGTAACCAGTCAAGTTGACCAATATAACAAACCATTGATTTTAGCCAAGTGGAAAACCTGGAAAGAAAAAAAAATGTCCTTTTGGAGATAGTCGTGTTAGCTTACTTTCTTCTCTTCTACTCTCCTTGGGCTTTTGTCTTTCTTTTTCATTTACTTCTTAACTTCACTCTTATTTTAAAACCTATCCCCTTGTGTAATCAAAACAGTACCATTCATTTATTGAATAGTAAAAATGTAAAAGCACAAAATTTGAAAGATACAAATGGGTAAAAAAAATATTTACTGGATATGATTATGAATTTGCACAGGGGCATCCAAGGAATATTATTTGTACCATAATTTGTAGTAGCAAAATATGGCAAACACCATATATCTGTCAGTACGGTGCTATTATCAGAGAATGGTGTGCAGCTTTAATACTGGGCAGCTCTGTAAGCACAAACATGGAATGATCTCCACCAGATATTAAAGGAAACGCAAGTTAGGTGTCTAACAGTTTGTAGAACATACCACCATTTGCATAATCAAAGAAGGAAACTCACCCATATATACGCTGGTATGCACAAATATACTTAAGTGAACTCTCTCGAGATTATACAAGAAGCCAACTGCTTCTGGCATGGGTTACTTGGTGCCACAGGACTGGGACGGGATGCTCTTTTCACTGTACGCCCCTATGTACCTTTGTTACGGAGCCATGTAAGTGGGTTACCTATCAAAAAATTTTCAGCAATTGGGATTCCTCCTTTTTTTCATCGTTTGTTCATATCATTTCCTCACTATTTCTTTTGAATTGTTCACCATATTCTTTTGTACTGACTTTGAAGAATGCTCTGTAGGTGAAGCAAATGATCCAGTATTTTTATTAGATAAGTTACAGATATTTTTACTCAGTTGTCTGTTTTTTTTTTTTAACTTCAGTTATATATTTGTCTAGATTTTTGCCTTGTAGAACTTTTAAATTTTTATATGGTCAAAGATATCAATGCAGTCCATTTTCATTATTCACAGGTTCTGTATTTGCATGTTCACCTGCTGGATAAAATTTATTTGTTACCCCCAAATCAATACTCAAGCACCTGCACGGTGGTTACCAACAAGCCAGCGTATAGAACAGCAAAAATTTTGGAAAAATTTGAGTTGTCTAGGGGGCCCATTACCCATGTCTTATTTTGGTTCTCACCCTACCAACAAGGGTCCTTTATGTGGTCTATTTAGTGGCACTTTTTTTTTTTTTTTTTTGCATTTTTGTGCTTTGCACAATGATTTCATTGTTTAAAATGGCCTCTGAGCATAGGGCTCAAGTGGTGTGTAGGGTTCCTAAGCCCAAGAAGGCTATCACGAGCCTTATGGACAAGATATACATGTTAAATAAACTTTGTTCAGGCTTGAGTTATAATGTGTTGGCCTTGAGTTCAATGTTAATGAATCTATACTATATAGTAAATAATGTGTCTTCAAATAGACATACAGATGAAACAAGGTTAGGTATTGATCAGTTGACAAAAATGTGACCAGAGGCTCACAGGAACCCTAAACCTACATTTCTTTTAGGGACCATAATTCAGTATTCACGAATTCAGTGTTCATGGCAATTTTATAAACTTGACATAGGGACTGTGAATAATAACAACTGTATTTTCTTTTATGATTTCTGACTTGGTGTTACAGAGGGGCCTTTGTCCTAAGTGGATATTAAAAAAAAAATCTAATTGTCAGTCATCTAGTCCTTTAATGATTTCATTTTCTTATACCCAAATCTTTGTTTGGAATTTTTGGTGTAAGATATGAGAATGTAGCATGTGATGATACTGTTATCCCAAAGTCACTTATTAAATGGTTCCTTTTCTCCTATTTTAATATTCTGGCATTTTGCTAACATTGTGGTTGGTAAGAGTTCCAAACTTGAGGTATCTTCTAAAACCACATTTAATTACCAAAAAAAAAAAAAATGACATGCTAGATTTTTCAGAGACTCTCCATTTCTACGTGATATGCACCCCTTCCCCAAATTCCACACTGCTCATACCATCCTCAACATGCTAAAAGTCCTGGGCACTGGGACTAATACTAATATCTCTTGCTAATATTTAGAATAAATATTTACAGTAAATGGCAAATCAGATGGAATTTACAACTACAAAAATTTATGACTTCTGGGCACAGTCTGCATGCAGTTGCTGGAAACAGTTTTAGATGGACATGCCTCAAATAGAAACCCTACCGTGTCTTAAACCTTAGTCTTAGATCTACTGGGTTGTGGTTTACCACTGATTCAGAAAGACACTGAGCCAAAGTCTTCCAGGCAAATCAGTGATTATGAAGGTATGACCTAATTAAAGATATGCTCCAATAATGAAAGACCTACAGAATAGTTAAGGGAAAGGATCTATGAGATTAATAAGAGGTTATAGGACTTCTTTTGTAATCCCACAATTCTGGCTCTTCTGTAGAAGGCATGAGAGCCGCTCAAGGTGAGCCACCAAAACATTATTTACAAATGTGAGTCGCTCTGCATTTCAAATGGTCAGTTTCACCCGCAGTCATTTGTCATGATTTATTCATTCAATGTCAGGTCGATTTCGCGGGAGGATGTATGCAGAGGTTCTTGAAAAGGTCACCATTGTATAAATGTAGATTTCAGGAAGTTTCCTAACTTTCTGACTTGATGAATTTCTGCTATAAAGTGAATACTCTAGGTCCTGGCAGGCCAAGGACACAATTTTCGACTTCTGGGTAGAACAAAAATGTAAAATGAATCTGAAAAGGAAAGGCACAATAGAATATATTTCAGACTATGTGGCACAACCCCGGGGTTACCTATGTCAGCGATGAGGCTGCCCGGCTTCTGCTCCTGGAGGAACTGACGGACGCGAGGCCAGGCTTTGCTCTGCAGGTCATTGAAGTAAGGTGCGGTGCCCTCATACACATCATGTACGTGCTGCTTTTCCAGCTGGGCAGCTTCATGATCCATCCTGGGAATGGGGCCACCCCCAAGAAATGCCAGTCAGAGTACACAGCAGAAGGAGCTGAAGGAGGATGCAGATTTTCTAAGATTAGGAACCTACAACTGCCAAGGTCATACTGTCCTTATACTTTTTTTTTTAACTGAAAATAACAAAATCTGCACTGTAACCCCACCATAATTGTCCAAAGACTAGCAAATGCATAGTTTTTACCTGCATATCTTCAGAAAATAATGGTTTGGAAATGAGCCAGTCAGTGTAAGTTCCTGTACAAGATCAATTCTTAATTCTGGAAGCATATACAAAAGGTTCACCAAATGGTTCACCCTGGATAAAATCATTCTATTTAATGCTAGAGAAGTTTTAAAATTTTATAACAGGTAGCTCATCACTCCAATCCAATCACAAAGCCCTATTGATTCGACCTTTTTAACGTCTTTGGATGCTAACCATTTCTCAATCTCCCTACTGATCCAGCTTTAGAAAAGGTGCTCGCCTCTTGTCTGAATTACTTTCATAGCCGTAAACAGATTTTGGGGGGACAGATTTTGGTTGCCCCTCAATCCCTTTCCTTCACTTATGGAAGGAACTATCCACAACTGTTTTCCTAAAACAGAAATCTAATAATGTTGTTTTCCATCTTAGATTTCTTCAAAGGCATTTTATAGCTTGTCCAGTCAAGTTCAGGCATCTTAGTAGGGCATACAAGGCTCTTTCTGATCTGGCCTCAACTTATCTCTTGAAGCTTTTTCTCACCGCCCTTCCCTAGCATCAGATGAGGCTGTATTGCTCAGTGCCCCATGGTTTCTCAGACGCGACACACTCTCTCTCATCCAGGGGCCTGAACGGTTACTTATGCTTTGCCTGGCTAACTTCCGTTCATTCTTGACATGAGCATCACCTCTTGCAGAAAGCCTTCTTTGACCTCTCATGCAGGATCAGGAAATCAGAAAGGAGTGAGAAAATGAAAGAGCAGTCTTAGAGGCCCCTGCTGGGTTAGGTTTAATCTTTGAATTATTCTCTTGTGGCATGTGAGTGAAGAGTATCCCAGGGAAGTGGCCAGGGGCTCAGCTTGTAGCTTTTTACCAATCAATATGAAAGTATTTTCAATCATTTAAGAACCCACTTGGCCCCACTGGTGCGTATCAGCTAGTTTGCTCCTGCCCCTTTTACTCCCGTGCATCCCGTGCACGCTGCCACCAACACAAAGGGCTATAATCATTCATTGGATATTTGCCTCTAGCACTGGCTGGAAGATGCTAGAGTTCAAGGGCTCGCCTTATTTAATGCCGAATCTGCCAGAGTTTGCACACGGCAGATACTCAATAACGAACAAACACAGGCAGAACTGACTAATCCTGAGTCCAGAGGGTGGCACTGGGTTTGGTAGAAAAGGGAGTGACCCTGGGGAGTGTGGGAAGAGATACACTCACAAGCTTGAAGATGAAAGAGTGACAAGAGAGGGGTACAGTCTCTAGACAGCAGACAGCCTATGTGTCCCGCTCCCCACCCTCCGTCCCCCTCACCAGTCCTACCCTGGAAAGTAGAAAGCACTTGAGCAAGATGGTATCTGATTAGTTATTGCAAAGTACCTCCCTTCTTACCCTCCTTTGCATTTAAGAAATCTCTTGTGGAGAGGGGTGCCTGGGTGGCTCAGTCGGTTAAGCATCCGACTCTTGATTTCAGCTAAGGTCATTGATCTCACAGTTCGTGAGTTTGAGCCCCGCATAGGGCTCTGCACTGAGATAGCAGAGACCGCTTGGGATTCTCTCTCTGCCCCTCCCTACTTGTCTCTCTCTCTTTCTCAAAATAAACATTAAAAAAAGAAAGAAAGAAATATCTTGTGGAGAGATACTTTGAGACAACATAAATATCCTGTTTCTCATACTCTCATCCACCAGTTGTAGCATCCTATCCATTGGTGATGCTTGCCCCAAACAGTTATTACTATAATTATCACCAAATGATGCTATTTCAATTCCATCATCCATTCTATGGCAAGGAAGAGATTTTCAGGATTGACTCTTAAGAAAACAAATGAGCAGTAGACTATCCTTAATTACTACGGGCTGCCCACAGCCCCTGCGGAAAATCTGGCAAACTCCTAACAGAGTACAAATCTCATTTGTGAGGTCTGACAAAACTTCCACCCAAACTGAAACAGCTTATATTGCACCCTCAACTGGAATTTACAAAGTAAACATATGGCCGGCTATAACTGCCTACACACCAGAAAAAACCAAACACTGAGCGCTTTTCTTTTTAATCAACATCTCAGTAGACTTACGTCTGCTTAAATTTTTTTTTCCCTCAAGGAATCATCTGGCAATACAATTTGGAGGAACCCTAAAACAAATAAATTTTACTTTCTTTTACTTGCACATAGTAATTGGCAGTCAACATAAACACAATTATCTTCAATCTGGCTCTACCTGCAAGATCAGAATTTGTAGTATCTGAACAGTACCCCTTGGAGACCTTTCACTAAGTCCTCTCCCAAACTGCCTGGCCTCTACTGTAAACAAGGAGCTCTTTTAAAGTGTGTGAACAATATAAGTCCACTTTGTTTTTATTGTATTTTACAGTTAAGAGTATATACTGCAGAATGATTAGCTGTGAAACTGATTTGTGGAGCTGGGGCTATCCAAGGTGACATTTTTAACACTGGATTTAAATTTCCTGCAATATTTTCCATATGAATTTTATGCATATAAGCAAATTCCTTGTGGATTAGATCATGTGATTAAGCTAGTGAGGTTGGTACTATAAAATACGAGTGGGGTTCAGGGTGAAGCTAGGGAGATAGGGTTAGGTTTAGCCAGGCTTTTTAACCTGTGGGCTGTCAAATTCTAGGCCCTTGTAGCTAGCTGATGCCTTGTTGGTGAGTCATGAGAGAAGGGAAAATAATTTGAAAGGTAAGGGGAAGTCAGATGTAGTAATACACTGAAAATTCAAAGCACTAATTTGTATTTTATTTTAAGTGCAATAGAAAGTAGAAAATATAGTTTTAAGTTCGTAGATGGGTTGGGGGAGGTAGGTAACATGATTGGATTTACAATTTTTAAAATTTGTTTTAATTTTTAATTTTTTTTTCTAGAGAGTGCACACATGTAAGGGAGGGGCAGAGGGAGGGAGAGAAAGAAAGAAAGAATCTTAAGCAGGCTCCATGCCCAGTACAGAGACTGACTCTGGGCGTCCTCCAATGATGGTGAGATCATGACCTTAGCCAAAATCAAAAGTCCAAGGCTTAACCAACTGAGCCACCCCAGCACCCCTGGTTTTATAATTTTAAAAGATCCCTCTAGGCATATCTTTTAGAGTAGATATTATTTTATTTGTCACAACCCCTTTTCTTCCGATAATTTGTATCTTGTCCTCCCTGGATGAGCAGGGGACCCAGGCCTGGCCAATCATGGTATCTCTATCCCGGGACACAATCATTGGTTCAAGGCGATGCAAGGTGAGCCAATCAGAGTCCTTCCTTGAGATAGCTCCGTGTGGAGCTAAAGAACAAGTGGCCCCACCTCTGGCATCACAGAGCTGTAAAGATGTGAAGGTCGGGCTGCCAGTGGCTAACTTTCCCCACATAGCAAAGATCTGTCTTTGGTAGAAGAGAATGAAGTGAGGCAAAGTGAATAGATGAGAGACCAATGCGGTGGGAAAAAGAATCATGGCAAGCATAAAATCCTGGTTCTGCTCCCGGAAACTTTGGTTCCTGCAGTCCTGGGGGCTACTCCTCCTACCCAACTCAGGGTCAGTCTGTTCCCCTTTGTGCTTACTCTTGTTGGGTTTCTGACCTGGCCAGCACAAGAGTCCTCTCTAGTTCAGCATTACTTCTACCAAGAGCTTTCTTTTTCTGTTCTACTTCTAGTTTGTAGTCCTTAGAAAATGGAAGAGAGGAGAGAAAGTGATAGGAAACTAACAAAAGAGGTCAGTGCCTTGATGTATTTCCCATGGAGAGAGGTACAAAGAGAAGGACATCAGCAATTCTTCTAGCCACCGGGTCATCATTAAGAAGTCACACATGTTTAGATGTCCTGTTCTGGGCATGTGATCAGGATAGCACTTCCCCACTCAACTGCATTCAGGCAAAGCCATGTGCCTTGTTTTGACCATTAAATATCAGAAAAGATGTGGATTACACCTGGGGAGAAGCTTTATGAGCTGGCCTATAGCTCCAGTACCCTTTTCCGTGTCTCTGCAAAATCATGGAAATAGCGATGTAGGACACCACCCCCCGCCCCCACACCGAGCGATTTCTCTTAATGGACAGACAGGATGTGTGTTTTAAGCCAAAAAAGGGGGGAATAAACAGCTCATCATAAATGCTGAATAGGTAATGATAAAACAAAGACTATCAGTCCTATGCTATTAAAAGGGACCTTGTGACTATGTGAGTCTATCTTACTTTTTTCTTCATAAACGTTAACATTTTCCTCTTTACTATAGATGTAACAAAATTGGGAGAAAACAGGATATAGTACTATATCCCACTTTTTAAAACTTAATTTAATATTGTGAGCCAAGAAGTGACTTTTGCCTGTGGTTTTCTCCAAACTTCTCAAATAAATGTAATTTCCTTCATCCCTAAATCGATGTGTTTCATAGTCTACCAAGTATTATAATGACTTAAGTAACTCTACCAGATTCTGACTACTAAAGAAACAACGTTAAATATACATCTTTGCTTAGCACTAGATTTAAATATAACAGGTCTAACCACATTTAATGAGTAAATGGAAAATGAAACTCCAGCCAAATAAACTATATATATTTTTTTATTTTTTTTATTTTATTTTTAACAGTTTAGGTACAACTGACATATGACTAACTGCACATATTTAACGTGTGCAATTTGGTAAGTTTTAGATGTACATACCTTGGGCACCATGAGACAATTATGATAATGAACATAGCCATCACCCACACAGTTTCCTTTTGCCCCTCTGTAAGCCATCCCTCCCACCTTTTCGTTTTTCTTAATGCCATGTTTCTGGGTAAAGAAACCGGGATGTATGGGTGCACACTGAGACATATGTCCAATACCCACAATTCCAAACGCA